AGATAATTACCTTCAGGTATCTAATTCCGACCAATCAGCACCTCAGTAGGATATGACGTCATACAAGAATGGTGGTGAAGGCCGTTTGCAGTCCCGGCCGGTAGGTCACGTGACCGCCAGGCGCCTCGGGTCACGCGGCGGTCGGGAGTCGGACGCGGGGCGTGGTCGCGGGCGGACGCGCGGGGCATCATGCTTTGCTTTGCTTGCTTTGTCAACTTCATATAACTTACTATCGCATTCGTGTGAAAGCCAAAAACTGCTCAGTGCCTTTAGAAATTGAGTTTTGGAAAGCTCAAGTCCCTATAGCTCCTCAGGTCGGCAACAGTTGAAGCCTCATCTGAACCCATGTGAAAAAAACGAGGGTAAGGAACCTTGTGTTGCTTTTTCTTTTACCGTCATAATTATCTCAAACCATCACAATTTTGAGTTGCCACATTGTCTGCTTCACTACATTCGTGTAAAACTTGGGTGAAGGCTGGTGGCTCAAAGAAAGGTGAAGATATTTCTTTAAGTGCCTAATCCGTGAAATTGAAATATCCCGGCTTTACAAATCTACACTTTTCATTTTCTCCACGATACATTTTTTAAAATTGTTTAAATTTTATCTACATTTGTTAAAATCGGGGCTTTGGTTTTGTGTAAACTAGATCATAAAGTTTACTATAGTTTTGTGTAACCTGATGGCTGAAGAAAATAGTAATTTTGCTAAAATGATGTGCGGAAATTTGTTGCTTTCCAAATCAAATTACTCATACCTATATTTCATTCAAAATTAGGAGGCATTATTACTGTTTTTTCTTGTAACATGAACTGAGTTTGGGTACGGTGCTCCGGAAACGTTGTGGAACTTTAAGCTAGCTAGAGCAGTTTCCATAAAAATTGTTTAGATAGTTAACATGGCTTGTTGACAACTCTTTTGCTGTTTCTAAAAAGTGAAAAAAAATATTTTCCTGCATTAAGCACACAAGGCATGTTATTCTCATAAGCTATCGAATGTGTGTGTGTTTTTTAAGCTGTTTTTTTAAGCTTTTAAGCTGTAACTTCAGTTACTTCACTTTAGAACATATTGCCCAGAATGCGTCACTGATCATGAGCTGGTATATCATATCATATGTAGCAAATACATAAATGAGAATAGTGTGTCATGAATTTTTGTGCATGCTTCTGGATCATCTGTAATTACATCAAAGGCTCGGCTCAAGAGTGTCCTGCCGACCAGCTTATGCCCAACCCTTTCTGTCCGCAGAACGTCGCCTGCGACTCCCGCACGCCGTTTGCCCCGGCCGTCCGTACTGGTCTTCGCGCTGCGAGCCGCGCTGGAGTTCGCGGCGGCGTCGTGGAGCTCCCATCGGGACGGCGTGTGATGCCCGCGTCGAGCTTATAAGCCGTGAGCTTCGATTGGCGGCTCACGCGGTCACCATCTGTATGTACAGCCTCGGCCCCGACGACCCCGCTAATGGCCGAGACCGGCATACCCCCGGCATGGGTCCGCTGTCCGGCGCAGCGCTGGCCGCCCGCATGCTATGCTACTTTTGGCTGTATCGCTGGCCAGCGGGAGCGCGCTCCACGCTGCGGGAGAGGTACACGTTGCGACCCGACTGAGGACTGCAACCGGATGGTGACACGGTCGGCCTCTGCGCCCTGGCCGGGGCAGGCGTGACCGACGTCACAGTGGAGGAACGCCCAAACAAGACCAGCCCACCGTCGGAGCAGCATGGAAACATCATGTTCTGCCTGGACGTCGGACCCGGCGGCCGCAGTGCACCTGCACACGTGCGGAGAGGGGCGCTGGAGGCTACTCTGGAGCTTCTGCCATTTCGCGGCGCGACTGCTGGCAAAACGGCGGCGATTGAGGCGGTTGGGAACAGCTGCAGCAATGGTGATGGCGGTGATGGCGACATGGCGGTTTGGGACTTCATCTCAGCGCGGCCGCCGCCCAGGCGCCGCTGCGCCCGGCTGCTCAGCCACCTACCGGATGGCGGGGTGGCCCTTACGGCCCTCACGCCCGTTCGGTCTGCGGCCACGTTGTGGGGTGGCGGTCGCGGGGTTAGCGGCGTTGGACTTCGTCCTTTATCCAGACTGCACTGTACCATCTGAACGGATGGATCTGCCAAGAAAGATGACATCCAAGGCGGCTATGAGGCGATCACAAAGCTTCACCAAGAGCTTCTCCTTCATGGGGCCGGCCGGCCGTTAAGTCGCAACACCGGCTGCCGAGTGCCAACAGCTGCGTGCGCTGGCGCCGACGCGTTGTGGGCCGCGCTGCTGACGCCCAAGCTGCGATATCAACCATCTATGAATAAGTGGCAGCGGTGGCGGTTTGTCAGTTGTTAACGTGCCTTAACAGGCGTTGCGAATAGCCCGCGTTGGAATCGCATGGTTGGCAACACAACGCAAGTAAAAATGGGCTTCCTTGATGAACCTACTTTTTAAGCATTGTAGCCTTTGTAATTTTGGATGTTTTGCTGTAGATATTATTTTCTACATATATACCATATAGGCACTCACGTGCTTTAAATCGCGCAATGCAATTGAACCATGGTAAAGACAATGATAAATGAACTGAGAGCTGACATGCCCCATGCTTTGTGTGTGTATGTATGTGTGTGTGTTTTTTTTTTTGGCGAGTCGATAAAAGTGGTTTTGGACACTGGATGAGTTTTTAGGGGTGTGGTGAGGGGGGATGTAATTCCACAGACCCTCTGTCAGATTCACTAATGCAGTAGGTCTGTGCGGTGTTTAGTTATCGGAGCATTCTTTGAAAGTCGTGAATAGGGCCACCGAGTACCTAAAGCCGTGATATTCCCCCACAAAAACTTCTTTTAAATAACCGGGGATAGGTACATGAGCAGAGTAAATGCTATTACGAACGCCTATCACAATGCTGAGCGAATAGGAAAATCCATAGATGGAGAATTGTGCCGCGTTACGGATGCTCGGGCGCAGCCAATCCACCGTTACCCCAGCGGTGACCTTGACCCGCATCGTCTGTCTCGGCTCCAAAGCCAAACCGGCGTGGAATTGGGAGCGTTCGAGCACTCATGGTCCAGCGCAATTCTCCACCTAAATCCATTCCTGATACACATTTGCTTGCTCATAGTCATGTAACCCCGGTAAATTCACCCAACTTTCATATTGGTCCCTCCATAGACAGATGGCCACAGAGATCAACTTAAAAGGCCATTGTTGCATTCATTTAGTGGAGATCATTAAAGAGCCGTGACAGGCCACAAGTCGCGTGACATCATACGTGTAACGACCAATGACGTCGGCCTGCAAAACCCAATGGAAGCGGCTAGCAGCGTGCAATAAAACAGGGCGCTGCTTTCTAAATGTCTGTCGTGCGCCATAAATGACTATATTCTTTGTAGCCTGGCAACTCAGTATCTTTTTTTAACTATTGTACTAGTATTTAATAATTTCATAATTTTATAATTGTGCTTACGCTTTATGTTGATATTAGTGATAAATCCTTAGATAAAGTAAATCGATGTGATATTTCATAGAAAAATAGCAAACTAACGCACCATTCATTCGAAAGCTGGGGAACCTACTAAAAAGAACTACTAAAATTCCTGAGGAACCAAAGGATCAAATGGGGATTAAATAGATGCCTGCTATTCCGTCGTGAAAACGGCCATTTCAAACCATAAATTAATGTTGGACAGCCAAATTAAAGAAACAATACCAATACAGGCTTACAGTTTAAGTTCGACATTGCGTTGTCTACGATTAGACAGCTGAAAACTCATTCCCGTACGTTGTAACTCTATAATGACCTTTGCTTATTGTCACATGTGCGCCGCATTCGCGATTGTTGCCGACGCCTGTTTGCAGGTCAGCCCACTACAGTTGTTATACATACCTATCGAAAAACCGATAAACTTTTAGGCAAAAAAAGCACTATTCCAGGCCCATTTTTGATTTTTTTTTTGCGATATTAGGTAAAAACAGAAGCTTCTTGTCCTAGGAAAAACAAAATGGGAAATCATTGGAAGGTGGCACACTACCTTTAAGGACGCCTCGGCGACGAAGGCATTTGGCATACATCTAGTAATAACATTTAAATCTATAACATCTACATATATACAATATGCATCTATAATAATAATATTTAATTCTATAACATCTGCATATATACAATATACTTCTATAATGATAATATTTGGGCAACTTATTACCTAATTATTATAATACGAAATAATTTATATTCCTTTTCTTTGCTTATGTTGCTCTACGTGTACACCTTTTTTGTGAAAGTTATCAGGAAAAATTTTGGTAACCATTAATGACGTCACATGACCCTGCAGTTGTCAAATTTCAAACAGTCCAGGCAAACAAATGGCAAACATCTGAACAGGCACGTTTGGTCCATGAGTGGTGTAAAAGTCTCCATTAAGACGCAAATTTGCGAAAGTGAGTCACGTGATTTTCCATGAATTAGCTTATAGTAAGTAATGTACCAATAGTAGTGGTATATTCGTACCCCCTGCAACTGACCCGAGCTTTGGGACTATTTTTAAAGGGAAAACCCGAGGCATACAACTTGTAGGTACTTAAAGACATATAACACCCTGTAGTTTTCAAAGGCCTCGGTCATCTATTGTGGCTCTCATAAGGTAATAAAGCTGAAAAAGGTGATACCTATGCGCCATTCGCAAAAAACCATTTGAGAAGATCTGTGAGGTCCAATCATTCAAAGTAGTCTGCCTGGCCTTTGAGAGAAGGGACCATCGCTTGCACGCCATACGCAAAATAGGTATTTGGTGGTATATTCGTTCAAATGTTTGCAATGCTTGACGTTGCCATTTTCTATCAATTGGATAAAAGCGTACCCCCTCCCCCACCTCCACGTCGCTGCGGAGGGCTTAAACACATACCTTTTTTTAAATTATATTGACAGCTTACATACTAATAACAAATGCCTATAAAAAGTAAGAATTGTTGTTGTGTTAGACCTGTGACTGCATAAGCTCCGGGGCTTTCCATGTGCCGCCCGGCCGATTCGTCAGCCGTGTGTGTACCTATGTGTGACCTTGCACTGCCGAGGACAGCAGGCCCGTCGCGGCCGGCCGCTATAAAGGCCGCCGCCGGCCGTCCACCGACACAGTATCGCTCACCTCACCTCTCCACTCACATCATGAAGCTGCTGGTAAGCGGCAGGAGCTCATTTTCTATCGGTCTTCTGGCTCGGTCTCAGCTTCAAGTCAGTCCGGACTGCTGTTTGTTCTATAAAATGGTTAATGTTTTGCCTTATATTCTTTTAAACGAAAATATAACTAAATTGAAATGATATAGCAAAAAAAAAAATTGAAGCGGACAAAGCAAGGTCAAAGTCACACCATTCCTGAGAATGATTTCAAATGCTTTTCTGTTGCGAAATTCGTTGCCTTCTCACATTCTGTGTTAAATGAGATATCTTTTTATTTTCAGGAAAATAATGTAAAAAATAAATTGGTGGTATGTCATGCTTAAAGGGAAAAGCTATCAAAAATGGCTAATGCTTCACATAACTTAGCGTTGGCGTTCTGCAGTTGATCCGGCCCTGACTGTCCGTGTGAGCTGACACAGTTGATCCGGCGGTGACTGTCCGTGTGACCCGGCAGTTGATCCGGCGGTGCCCTGACTGTCCGTGTGATCTGACAGTTGATCCGGCGGTGACTGTCCGTGTGACCCGGCAGTTGATCCGGCGGTGACTGTCCGTGTGATCTGACAGTTGATCCGGCGGTGACTGTCCGTGTGATCTGACAGTTGATCCGGCGGTGACTGTCCGTGTGACCCGGCAGTTGATCCGGCGGTGCCCTGACTGTCCGTGTGACTGTCCGGCAGGTTCTGACAGCCGCCATGCTGGCCGTGACCCTGGCCGATGGAGGTCACGGTTACCATGGTTACCAGACCGAGCACGTCGGCTACCAGAAGGTGCGCACCGTGGTCAAACACCACCCGTACCCGGTGGTGAAGCGCGTGCCCTACGAGGTCGTCAAGCCGGTGCCCGTCTACCGTCCCGTCTACAACACCGTCTACAAAAAGGTGCCCCAGCCGTATCAGGTCGTCAAGCACGTGCCCGTCGTCAAGCACGTGCCAGTGGTGAAGCACGTGCCGGTGGTGAAGCACGTGGAGCTGGTGAAGCACTACCCGGTGGTGAAGCACCACTACCGCGAGGAGAAGGTGCCCGTCAAGGTGCCCGTCTACGTCGAGAAGCCCAAGTACGGACACACCCATCACTAATCATTAGAAGTGAGCACCATTGATATTGTAGCTCAGGCTGAATGTTAACATTTGCACGAGTTACCATGCTAAAGAAGAAAATAAACTGCTGCCTATATCATTATGATGTGTGCCGGACAACAATGACTTTAACAGATGATACAGGACGCCCGGAAAAAGTTTACCCAAATTTTTTTAATAACATTTGCAATTATTATCTAATTCGTTTGAAATTTACGATACTTTAACAATACAATGAGAAGCAAGTAGGCAAAGCTTCATGCGAATCGGCTGTGTTAAGCATGAATGGTGGCACGTCAAATAAAATCGTACGATTTTAGAGCCAGGGTGCATCTCGAAAGAAAGCTTCCATACGAAAAATTCAATGCCACTTTTGCTTCAGGATTGATCGAGTTCATTTTCACACAGTTTTATGCAAAGAGCATGAGAAGTAAAAACGTAATTTGGAGCACATTTGGCTCATTTTTGTCGGGATAAGTGCATTTTAAAGAAATTGCCGCTTAAAACCGCGATTTGGCGCATGCCAGAATAATTCATGGATCACAGCCAACAGTTTTTCCGTAGATAAACAAACCTGCATCTTATGCAGCCATAGGTATGATAGACCTGCTTCTTATGCTTCAGTGGAAAAGAAAAAAGGATGCATCAGTAGTTGCGGAGCGAGCGAAACGAGCGTAGTCTTTCGTAGACAAACGGAACTTTCTGAGTATGAGCGGCCGGCCGGCCGGCCGCCCTTGGTCACGCTTTTGCGAGGCTTAGGTATACTCGTATCTCAGCAACCACTTGACCGATTTATATAACATGCGGTAATTTTTTTGTAGGATAGCTTCATTCCTTCTACCAAATATTGGACTATTCCCGATGCATTTGGGTGACCCCTTCTGCACGTGCCACGTGCAAAACGAAGAGGTGTCAGTTATGTAACAATTGCAATATCTCGGTAACTACTGGGCCGATTGCGCTGAAAGTTGGCATGCAGGTAGGCACCCACTAGGCAATGCACCTCCATGTGCCACGGTTGGGGTGCTGCTGCATGTGCGCACGTGCAGGGGTCGATTCCAGATCTTGAGAACGGCTGAACCGATTGCGCTGAAATTAGGCACATTGTTAGGGACCGGTTAGTTTGGTGCGGTACGAAAGTCAGTTGGGACCCATTTTGCACGTGCGCACGTGCAGGGTGTCGCTTCCAGATCTCGAGAACGGTCAGGCCGATTGCGCTCAAATTTGGCACATCGCTAGGGACCGGCTAGTAGGATGCACTGCACAAGTTAGTTGCAGGCACCCCCTGGCAATTTCGCACGTGCAAGGCCCACCCTCTCCCTTGCTCTGTTGGTCGCCCCAAAAGGCGATTTACTGGTGTAGGTATATGATCATCATGTACATGATTATGTACATATATGATTTGTCACAAAAACCACAAGAAGTTTTATACACTGTAGTTTCGTGCAACTTTGGCCACCAAGGCCCACGCCTGGAAAAAGAATTTGCTTTGCTGTAGCCTTTTACACTTACCTGGTGCAGAAAAGTTGTTGTTATGGTTCGGTAAGACTGTTCATCGGTTACCTTCGGGAACAATCCTAAGTTGGTCCTAAGGCCAAGTTGAAGGGCTAGGAGGGGTTAAAACAACCCATGAAGAATTCACGGAAAATCAGGGTTGGCTAGGATCCAGTGAGGACGGTAAACGGGTGCATCAGTAGCGATCTTGAGGCTTCCAATTTGTAGTGGTTAAGGTAAGCTAGAAATGCACAAAAATTCACAATGGTGACTCCTTTCTTTAACCCTCGCCGGCACAGGCCATTTTGCGTCCTTCGACGGCACAAGGGGGGGGGGTGGTACGACCCCCCTCGCGTTTGGCCCCTGATCAAGCTAGAGCTTCGCGGAAAAAACGAGCGTGTTGCCCGTCACGAGAGGAAGCCGATGATACCCAATTTTAAGGTCCTAGGTCATCAGTTGACCTTCCAGGTCAGGTCAATGGCCCGAAAACCGGGAAAATCGGGACCTGTTAGAAAGTCGTAAAGTGTGGCTGGCGGCTGCTATGTGGTTTTCCGGGTGCTGCACTGAGAAAACAGTGTCCCGATTTTCGGGCTCAGAGACCAGTTTTCGGGCTAATGTACCATATTCAAAACAGACAGCACATTTCGAGAATACTTTCTGAGCAACGCCACATGGGCTCATACGATCCCTTAAATCGGTATCATTGATCGCAGAAACAGAGCTCAGTCAGTACCCATTATCGGTGTCAAGCTCTAAAACTAGTCTCACTATGATACCAGTTTTCAGCCTGATCCCCATTTTCGAGCTCACCTGATTCCAGTTTGAGGGCTCAAATCACGGTACATAGAATACTAGGTAACACCGGTTTGTTCGCTCAGCACAGGGCCAATGGTGACCACTTTCTTCAGCTGACGTCTGTGACCTTGAGCTGACCTAGGATGATAAACAGCTGACAATTTAGGCCATTTGGAACTCACTTGACAGTTGAAGAGGGTGATTTAAAATATAAATGTTTGTCAGATACTGACAAAAGATATTATTCACCAGTCATTTTTTAAGCACATTCTGTCATAAATTAGCTGACTCCCTCTGGTCTTCCACACGGCAGAAAATTCAAGTGCAAATTCTGCAGTCTTGAAGTGAACCAAACGCTATGATACACATGGTCGTTTCTCTCAGAGCACAACGGGAACTGCGAGAAAACAAGAGAGAGTCGGACTCTACAAATGAATGAATTTGGAAGAAAAATAGCTGTATTTTTTCCTGTAAAAATGTTGACTTTGAAAACATTGGCCATCAACTTTGAAATTGCCCCCAAATCTGAAAATATGTGAATTGACAAAACAGGCAATCTTGCTGTTTTTACCCAAGTTTGCTCATGATTGAGAGAGATTCGATGCGAAAATACTCTGATATATACTTCTGAAAGCGAGGTCTCGATCAGTGTATTAATTTTGATTTTTAACCTAACGCTTGTCCCACTTTTCCTCCCAAGAAAATATTTTTGTCAATTTTTCAATAATTCTTTTATGCGTCATTGCTTTGAAAATAAAGAGAGTCGGACCGTAATTCTTTCAAAATGACTGATCGTGCTCAATATCTATCGGAATATATCAACAGATTGGCCAGACTCATTGGCTAAGTATGTTTAAATTGCATTTTTCTTACTTTCTGCAGATTTTCCTGCAAAATTTTACTGTAGTTTAAGCTGCGTTTCCTGCAGATTGTGTTCACAGACCAATGGGAGACAAGTATTTCTTCATCAACAGGTTCATTCGCCATCAATTGGTCTAGCGGGTGTTTTTCGCATGCGCAGCTTATGTCACAGCTGCGTAAGAACACGTTCTCTATAAATCATTGTGGATTTTTCTTTTCGGAATATCAATATCACAGGGTCAATATGTTTCGTAAGATTTGTGGCGGCGTGATTATCGTCATTAACTAGTTACTTGATATGAGATTTTAATGGGGAGTGGTGTAATGCCCGCACGACTGTCGACTTTCATTGTAATTGGCTGAGCTGGTTCCTGGGCCGCCTCAGATAGCAAGATGGTGTGTCGGGTGTGTCAAGTATCTTGACCTGACAGGAAGGTGGGTACCCTGACCCCTAGCTCAATATTTATCTCAGATGAAGCCCGTGTGTATGTCTTAGAGCTTGTTTAAGTTTTAACCTCATCTACATATAACCTAACATAATCTGAAATCAAATAACCAGACATCATAGAACCCTAATTTTGGTCAAATGCAGATGAGCAGAACAATATTTTTATTTGACGATTTTCCATGCCTACCTATGTCATGACGAGGGTTTGTTGGTTACTGTGTAGATAAACTATGGTGAAGATAAAACACATCATCTACCTTGCCTAACCTTGCGTACTAACCTACACTACAACTTTTGGTAAATGTTCATAAAGAGTGCGATTCACTTTTCAGGCATACATTTTGTACATTCTTACGCTATTTGACATCCTGAATCCAGATAGGTATGATGATGCAAATACAAAACAAAAATCAAACCTTACCTAAGGCTAACCCCATGTTGCGTGCCTATTCATATCAACTTGAACTGTAAATCAGATATTTTTATGAACAAATACCCATCTTTCATCCTTTCAGCATACATACAACCTACTAAACAGCCTAGGTATCAACCTACCATTCATACTTTATCTACACATACTTATTGGATATGTGGGGTATGTTTTGTTCAGTAGGTTATAGTAGGTCGGGTGCCTACCTACATGCTATCAGTTGTCATGCGACATGCTTCGCTTTCAGGTGGTGTCTTGTGGGCTTTATAGTGGGCTTTGTGGCCCTCTCTAAGTGCAAGGGTTAAGTGTTGATGCACATAATACAATGTGTTTTTTTCCATGGGCGCAGGAACCTCACGTTAAGTGGGGGGGGGGGGGGGCAGAGAACTTCAATGTCACTTTGTGGGAGCCCAATACCCCTATGAACAAATTCTTTGCAGTTTTGTGCTCATCTCACCTTGTCGAACCATTTCTCACTCTTAGTGTTGACTTTAAATGAAAAATAAATACTTTACTTTAAAAATTAGCTTAGCTGAAAAGTGCCTCCCCCCCCCCGCTCCTACGCCTGTGTTTTTTTCCTTAATGGCACAAATCATCCAGACTCATATGAGAAGGGTAGGTAGCTAGCTACAAAACCAATGCCTCAATTGTTTATTGTTTTCTTACAATAAGTCCCTCCTCTGCCAATCGCACTAAACTATCTACTGTCACAATGCAGTGTGTGTCATGATTTCTCAACTCTGTGCATACAATATGTTTCCATTTGTCAATCACACATTGTTTTTTTTTACAGACTTTCCGGTTATGACTGAGGCCGGCATCTCACCTGTCCTGGCTACGCCAAATCACTGTGGATGCCGGATGCCGAGGACCGGATAGCCAACCGCTTTGAGGCGTGAGCTCTGTGGCGTGGCTCGAGTGATCACCAGGTTCTGACGGCTACGGCGCCGTCGACCTGGTTGAATAGCTGGAGCCTGAACGAGGGTGACCTCAGTACGGTAGCCAATCGGTTACGTCCGAGGGGTGCTCGAACACGCTGCCGTCGCGTGGCTGCCGGCGGCCGCCCCCTCGCACGTGGATCTCCTGGAGCGA